CAGCGCCAGCCCCAGCCCCAGCCCCAGCCCCACCCAGCCCCAGTTTCAGCCCCAGAGCCCCAGCCCCAGTTTCAGCCCCAGCCCCAGCCCCACCCCAGGTTCCAGCCCTAGTCCCAGGTTCAGCCCCAGCCCCAGCCCAGCCCCAGAGCGTCAAGCCCCAGAGCCCCAGAGCCCCAGCCCAGCCAGCCCCAGCCCAGCCCCAGCCCCAGCCCCAGCCCCAGCCCCAGCCCCAGCCCCAAGCCCAGCCCCAGCAAAGCAAAACAAAAAAACTCGCTCAAAACTTTCGGTCGAAACTTTCGGTCAAAACTTTCGGTCAAAACTTTCGGTCAAAACTTTCGGTCAAAACTCCGGACCTGAACCCTATACAATTTCTATAAACCCTAGCAACCAACCTTACAGCCTATATCAACCCGAACTGCGCCCCGCGGCCCGAAACTTGCTATACTGGGCTTTACTGCTAGTTGCTTAAAAACCCCCCTCCCTCACACAACCCTAAACCCTAAACCCTAAACCCTAAACCCTATTCTTCCTTCTGAGGGCAACATAGGGCTTCTCTCGCGTTGAATTGTTCGCAGGGCTCTTAACTGGCGAGGCGCGTCTGTGAAACCCTGCCCCGCACTCTGTAAAAGCCACAAAAGCCCGGTAAGTCCAATAAACCCTATAAACCCTCATCCTCAAACCTGTAAACCCTTTAAGCTTTGTATGTGCCCTACAAACCCTAAACCGTAAACCCTAAACCCTTCAAGCCCTCGCAGGCCACAAAAACTTTGTTGCGACTCAACCAGCCTCACGGTCTCAACCCTCAAAAGCCCAGATTCGGGTTTAGTGTTTTAAGGTGCTTCTAGGGTTTAGGGTTTAGGGTTTAGGGGTAGGGTTAGATCCGACCACCTCGCCCAGTTCTGCTGAAGATACATGCTATCTGGCTGTGTTGAAGACACAAAGAAACCCTCCGGGTTTAAACCCTAAACCCTAAACCCTAAATGAAGCTCCGGCCTATCTGAACCTAACTCGGGCCCAGTCACACCCCAGCTGTCGCATTTGTTGACATGGCCGCCACAAGCGAGGAGAATCTGAACGACCTGGTCCGGAAAGGCTGGCTTCAGGTAGGTTTAGAGTTTAGGGTTTAGGGTTTAGGGTCTAGGGTCTAGGGTCTAGGGTCTAGGGTTTAGGGTTTAGGGTTTAGGGTTTAGGGTTTAGGGTTTAGGGTTTAGGGTAGGCTGGGGTGCACCATGGTGCACCCCACTGCAGTCATAGCACTTGCCGCGCAAGCAACTCGCTGAACAATCTGTTCCCCCCCAAAAAAAAACTCAAAAAACCCGAAAACTGCGGATGGGAGCTGGAGGCTTATCTTCTTGAGCCCCACTATCTTAGGGTAGTTACATGGTCCCTTTAGTTATATACCCCTTATACCCTACAGAACCCGAGGGTCCATCAAGGACTTGTGGGATTGAATGTCTGAGAGCCGAAGACTGAGTCTAGGACTGCAGCCTTAGAATGACTACTATGTCCTAGCTGCTGAGTACCCGGCCAAATAAGCTTGACCTTTCAAATATGGTAGGATAGTACCCCAAAAGGTTTAAGGTTGTCCACCCAGCTACGAAGATGTCATTATCATGGGTCAGTAACCTTGAACCGACACTGGTCAAGCCTAAAACCCCCCCCCCCCCCCCCCCCCCCCCCCCCCCCCCACCCCACCCCACCCCCCACCCCGCCCCCAACTCTCCGAATCATTCAAGCGCACCCCAAAGACTGGAACCAATTCGGGTCCCAAGTCCTAGCTAAACCAAAAAACTCCCCATGTAGGGTGCCTCTTCCTGTCAGCTTGAGTGATTTCGGGCTGGAGTTGTGGAGGATTTCAGGCTCTCAGGGCAAGATGTTTACGCTTACTCGCCTCCAACCCCTGAGCTCGCACCCCACCCTCTCAAGCTTGCACCGACGACCGCCCCGAAACCCTACTTAAGCGAAAACCCCCTAAACCCTGTAACCTAAACCCTAAACCCTAAATCCTAAACCCTAAACCCTAAACCATACCTAAATCCTAAACCCTCAACCCGAACCTTAAACCCCCCGCCCCCTGCCCCCGAAGGCCGGAGCTCTGCGTCCCGAGCCGAGCGGCACGAAGTTCCCCCGAGGCACAGGCCTGCAACCGACAGTTAGGGTTTAGGGTTTAGGGTTTAGGGTTTAGGGTTTAGGGTCTAGGGTTTAGGGTTTAGGGTTTAGGGTTTAGGGTTTAGGGTTACTTAGTAGGGAATGAGGGAGTGAGGTGCCCGAGATAGTCCCTTAAAGGGTAAATATAGGACCCTGATTCCCACCAGGGGGGGGGGGGGGGGGGGGGGGGGGGTTCTGATATTTTTTTGGGGTTTAGGGTTTAGGGACGGGTTAACTTGTTTCCGGAAATAGGGGTGCCCTTTTTTGGGTGTCCCTTTAAGGGGATTCTATTTGGAGTATACGCACCTGGGTTCAGGGCTTTTGGGGGGCTTTTTTGAGGGCCTTGCAAGGGATTCTTGGGGTCCTCTGAAGGCGTGCTCTACCTCTGGAAGGAGTTTGAAGGCTTTGGGTTTAGGGTTTAGGCTAAACCCTCAACCCTAAACCCTAAACCCTAAACCCTAAACCCTAAACCCTAAACCCTAAACCCTAAACCCTAGCTGGACTTTGGGGGGGGGGGGGGGGGCAGAAGGCCCCAGGTGCGCCCGAGAGGCCATGTGCAGCGCGGTGCCGCCGTCTTTGTCTTCTTGGCTCGGGTCTACGTTGTCCTGGGTGGGTTTAGGGTTTAGGGTTTAGGGTTTAGGGTTTAGGGTTTAGGGTTTAGGGTTTAGGGTTTAGGGTTTAGGGTTTAGGGTTTAGGGTTTAGGGTTTAGGGTTTAGGGATAGGGTTTAGGGCTTTTTCGCTCCCGCATAACTGGCCGAACCGCAGGCAGGGTTTAGGGTTTAGGATTTAGGATTTGATTTAGGGTTCAGAGTTTAGGGATACTGTTGGGCTCAAACCTACTTGGAGGTTCATAACTGTACTTCTTCCCCATGCATAAGCCCCTTAAGTGCCCTAACATGGTTGTAAGTACCGATAGAATTGGGTTGATAAGTACCATAAACCACCAAGTAAAGATCCATGTACCCATTTGGTATATACTTGGCCCTGACAGGGGTTGCTCTATCGTCGCTTTAGGGGCCAAGTTTATACCAAATAGGTACATGGCTCCTTAGGGAAACTACCCAAGACTTCCCAAATAAGGAATGTACCATAAATCATATTGGGGATCCCTATATAATTTTCAGTAGATTCCTTAGGTCAGACCCTCACGAATGCAGCTGCGCACTTGAAGGCCCTGGGCGCCGAGCCGTACGACTTTCTGGGGACGATGTGCCCCCGAAACTGCACGTCGAGCACACACACTTTGCAATCCTGGAAGTTTCCGTGCCCAAACGCCCTGTTCAATAGAGCTATAGAGCTCTTTTGTTGCGCAAGTAGTTCCAAAAAACAAACGAGCAGTGGACTCGCTGGCCATGACCATTCCAGCAAGAATGCTTGCATAAGCCACGCTGTGGCTGGGGAACCGTCTCAGCCCACAAACCTCAAACATCCCAACGCTTAGCATTTAAGGCTTCGGGCAGCTAGTGGCTCTCAACTAGACGAACCCTAAACCCTAAACCCTAAACCCTAAACCCTAAACCCTAAACCCTAAACCCATCTGAGTTTCTGCGAGGATTGCTCGAACCACATCGACGCGGCCTCGCAGGAACTGAACATGTTGCCTCCCACGCCTATAGCCGTCTACTATAAGGAGAAAGGGTTTAGGGTTTAGGGTTTAGGGCTAGGTACACAGCAAAGGATGAGCTCTCTGAACTGCCATGCTGCCATAGGCGCTGAAGTATTTGCCCGAGGTCAACGTTCCATGAACTCCAACACACCCTCATGTAGCCCAACAAAACCCCAGACCCCAAACTCGCTAAACCCGGCAAGCCCCCGCACACCCCAACAGATCTCCTAAACCCTAAAACCCAAGCCCTAAACCCGAAGCCCTAAACCCAAAACCCTAAACCCTATCTGTGCCCCCAAGAAACCCTACATGCCCGCCAAATTATGCGCTTTGCCTCTGGCTGCGGCCTCATGGAGTCCCGAACGCCCACGCTCCTCACTCTCATATTGTCTGGTTTAGGGTTTAGGGTGTAGGGTTAAGCCTTATAGGAACCAACAGGGGAAGGTGAGGTGATTATGTTTATTTTTTTTTTTGGGGGGGGGGGGGGGTGGGGGGGGGGGGGGGGGGTGGGGGGTGGGGGGGGGTGGGGGGGGGTGGGGGGGGGGGTGGGGGGGGGGGGTGGGGGGGGGGGGGGGGGTGGGAGGGGGGGGGAAGGGGGTGGGGGGGGGGTGGGGGTGGGGGGGGGGGGGGTGGGGGGGGGGGGTGGGGGGGGGGGGTGGGGGGGGGGGGGTGGGGGGAGGCAGAAATTCGGTGTTTCTTTGAGATTGGATGAGAAAAACTGTGCCTGTGTAGGTTGGGGAGGTGCGCAGCAGGGGCCGTTGAATATGAGCCCCAAGACAGGGTTCCTTCTGACACCCGTCCTTGGACGGCAAGGTTTTTGTCATGTTAAAGTTGTCGTGATCCTAAACCGTATAAGACCTGAGCTCTAACAAGTCGGTTTGCAATAGGCTTCTGTCTATCCGCCCGGAAGTGAGCCCTAAACTCGTTTTGCATCTGGCCTGCTGGGTAAAGGCAGGGGAAGCACGTTCCACGCACTCCATTCTTCGCAGGCCTAAACCCTAAACCCTAAACCCTTTTGAACCCAGACTGAGACAAGCTTGCTGGGATTCCTGCCAACCTGAAAGTGATGCAGACAAGGGACTTGTGCCTCTGGGCACCACTGATAACTGCAGGACGACAGCAGAGCACATATGGCCCACCATGCATGAAAGTAGTAAAACTGAAACAAAATCTGTACATCGTCCACGGGCTGCTCACAAACCGCACATGATCACTTCGGAAGACTCCCAACCCACAAGACAGCGGCTAGCCACCTTCCTCACTCAACCTCTTCTCCCTTTCACTCTCCCTTGCACTCAAAACTTGCTCACGGTGACTCCGTCGTTGGATTTTGAAGGCTTGCCTTTGTCGCTTATGAGCTTCCATCTGGTCCTGAATGCTCGCGGGGAAGACAGGAGGAGGCGGCTTGACTATGGATGGTTGCTCAACTGCACCGGAAGAGGAACTTGAAGAAACAGGGCCGCAAAGCGAGACTCGATTCGCAGCTGCCGCCACAGAACTATCTTCACATCGAGTCTCTGGACAGGTTGAAGCCGTCAACTTGTTCTCCAATGCAAGCTCCAACTCAGCGATGCGTAGCTGGAACGTCTCCATCACTTCCGTTTGCCTCCTGACTCCTGCCATCGCATTTTCCATGATTCTCTCGAAGTCCGGTCGTAAAATCACCTCATAGTCAGTCTGTACTCCCTGATTGCAAGACTCAGGAGATTCGTATGTCGGCTCTGACACGTATCCCAATGCTGTATACAAAGAGATTGGTCGTCTGGTAGATGGGGCGGTCATTCCATGGAGGGCTCTCCAGAGGTGTGGCAGCACGTCCTGTTTCCTCCCTTTCCTGGCCAGTCTGATAGAAAAGCCAATGCATGCACATAATTGCTTGCACCGAGCGCCCATAGCAGCAATAAGCACAGAAACTCAATTACCCAGAGGAAATGCCCCCTAGGGCCTCGTAGCCAAACTTGAGCTTGAGCCAAAATGGCTACCCTAAACCCTAAACCCTAAACCCTAAACCCTAAACCCTAAAACCCTGAACCGGAAAATAACCTACCCGACCACAGGCTTGATGAGGCGCTTGAAAGAAATCATGAGCCCTTTTCGTTTTTGGGTTAGGAGTACTTAAGCCAAAACTGGGGAGATCCTTAACTAGGCTGCCGCCTAAAAAGGGGTGCCCTTTTTTGCTTAAAGGGGTTTAGAAGGGAACCTAAACCCCCCAAAAAAAGGGAATAAGGGTACTACTGGGCATCCTAGTTAATATAACTTAAGGCACTTTCCCGGAGAGCCCAGCAGCTAGCCCTTTCGCCTGCTTAGGCTATGTCAGGGTCCTCAGTATGTGTACCCTAACAATCTCTTAAGCACCTTCATGTCCAATCTCTCCAAGGATAAGGATCCCCTGAAAGACCAAGACCCTTAGCCTGGAAGAACCCGTTCAACTGGAGCCCTATTTCAACTTTGCTTGCATCCGGGCTAAGCCCTGCACCCTGAAAACTGAAAACCCTAAACCCTAAACCCTACACCTGAAAACCCTCTAATGCCTTTGCGGAGAGCCCTTAGCCCTGAAACCCTAGCAGGGTTAAGGAGCCAACATGCTTCTTCACATACTTCAACGCCTGCCCTGAACCCTAATCCCTAATCCTTAAACCCTAAACCCTTTTGCAACTGGGCTGGTGGACTAGCCAGCTAGGCCAAACCCTAAACCCTAAACCTTAAACCCGTTCTTGCAGCACGCTTGCGGTCGCCCTTCCTAAATCTTGCACCCTTCGGAGGGCATGACGTGAATCTCAAGGAGCTCCTTTTCAGGTTGGGAAGGGTTTGCAAGAACCCCTCCCCCCCCCCCCCCCCCTTTAGGGTTTAGGGGATAGGGGCTTAGGGGTTTAGGCTTTAGCAATCCGCCCACCTTCCTTCAATCCCTAAGGACCCTTGTACCTATATAGATGGTATCTACTTGGGCCTTCAAGGGGTCTCTGCATAATTAGTAGGCCCCAGGTATATACCATAGAAGTACAGGGATCCTTAGGGCAAGGCTTGGGAATACGAGAAATGGGGGTCGGAAGAATGACCGATAGTATTCCCTTTCGGCCCCTTTACAACTAAATTATAATAACCCCCCCCCAAACAAAAAAAAAAACCTGTTCTAATTATTTAGGCTTATATACTTGGCTGCACTCAGAAGCCAAAAAGGCTAAGGATCTAAAGTTACAGTAAAGCACCACAAAGTAAAGTATTGTGGGCGCAGCCTTCGGACTTCTGAGACACATCAGCCGAGCCGCGTCTAGCAGTCCCAGCTGTGCCCCGGCTGCCTTCAGATGTGCCGTGCTTCTCGATTTTGGGGGTTTGCGAAACCACTAAAGCCTAAAGACTAAACCCTAAACCCTGGTCCCTGCAAGGGGATTCTATTCTATTTGGGGTATAAAAGGGGTACCCCTATTTTGGGAAATACACATTTTTGTATCTGGGGCCTTTGTGAATTTTCCAGGGGCCCAGCCTTGGGCTTAAAGAGCCTTTGACCCCCTTCGAGTGGCCCAGTCTTATGACTAAAGAGCCTTTGAGCGAGGGGTGCAGCCTTAAGACAAACAGGGTTCAGGGCTTAGGGCCAGTTTCCCAGCCCAGCCGTAAGATTTGGCTTCCCAGCCGCTGAATTAGGGTTTAGGGAGTTTGGAGTTTAGGGTTTAGGGTTTAGGGTTTAGAGTCTAGGGTTTAGGGTTTAGGCTTCCCCCCCGAACTTTCGAGAACTGGCCTGAAGCAGCCGCAGAATTTCCAGGTTGCCCATACGGCTGGCTGCAGTGATCGTGGATAGGCCCCGAAGGAACGTGAACCCTCAGCAAAGATTGGTGTCTGCTGGCAAAAACTGAGGGTTTGGGGCTTTAGGGTTTAGGGTTTAGGGTGTGATGAGACAGACAGAGAGACGGACAGACAGACGGACAGCAGAAGCAGCAGATGTTGTCCTACCCTGTAAAAGACAGTACAATGAAGAGATGTGACAAACCTCACTGCCACTCTGCAAGACGCACAGTGTGACATACACTGCATGGGCTGCTCCCAGCTTAGGGTTTAGGGTTTAGGGTTTAGGGTTTAGGATTTAAGGTTTAGGGTATGGCCGAAGCGGCTCGCAGGATACATGACGTACGGCTCCTGTGCCTGCGCGAGCACGGCCTGCAAATGCGGATCCACGGGAGCGCAGCCCTAAACCCCAAACTCCAAACCCCAAACCCTAAACCCCAAACCCCAAACCCTAAACCCTAAACCCCAAACTTTAAACCTTGCTGCATTCCGATCCTAGAAAGCCTTGCACGGCCCTATACTCGCTGTGTTGCAACATGCTACAACCGTGATGCATTGCAGGTTTCGAGGGAATCCGCTTCTTGGCTTTGCCTGCGAAGACATAAATAGAGAGAGAAACCTGGAAAAGTCTCATGCGCCCGTCCTCCAGCTGCAACACATCTTGCTTGGCCACCGCTGTCAAGATCTCCTCCCATGTGCAGATGAGGACTTTGGGCCCGAGAGGGCTTGTTGCAGCTTCCGGTGGCATGAACTTTGGGTGTGGTACTGTTAGAGCTAACACCGGCCGAAAAGGCAAATGACAAGTGAAGCATGTAGGCGAACCCCGATCAGCTTCGCAGCAGCACTATGCAACACTCGACACACTCACTTTGGCCACAGATTGGCCAGTGTCGAAGAGAGCTTTCAATTTTCAATGCACATTCCTGTCCGAAACTAAGACGCCGGCCCTAAACCCTAAACCCTAAACCCTAAACCCTGAACCCTGAACCCTAAACCCTAAACCCTCACCCCAAACTTGCATCTTGACCATGGCCATTTGTTTTGAGAACCGTGAGGACATGCAACCAGTCTCCGGAGAAGACTTGCTCTTGCGCTCGGGCATCCCTGGTCTAAAGCTAGATAGGGTTCCCCCCCTAGGTTTAGGGTTTAGGGTTTAGGGTTTCGGGTCCTGCGTGAGATGATGCCGCAGGACTTTAAAGTCCACGAAGGCTGCGGTGAGCTCCTGGGGCCAGGATGGGCTGCTATACCCCATTATACCCCGTGGTTTGGGGTTTAGGGTTTAGGGTTTAGGGAAAGGCCCCGATGTAGGGTTGATCTGTAGGGCGTTTGAAGGCCAAGCAGGCCACGCAGGGCTCTCGCGCGAGGCAAGGATGCTTCCCCACCTCTCTCTTTGGGAGGGGTTCAGAAACGAACCAAGCTAAGGGTTTAGGGTTTAGGGTTTAGGGTTTAGGGTTTAGGGTTTAGGGTTTAGGGTTTAGGATTTAGGGATGTTCCCCGCTTATACTAACAGTCCTTCATAGGGATCAACAGAATGAGGGGGTACTAGAATCCCTATTAAGAACTGCTAGTATAAAAGGGGGAACATCCCAACTGCCTTGTGTGCACGCAAGACATCATCTTCTGGAACCACGCGCTCCAACAACAAATATCTCACCCTGAGAAGCCAGGCTGCCCAGTAACCTAGGCTTAAAAAGGGGTTTAGGGTTTAGGGTTTAGGGTTTAGGGTTTAGGGTTTAGGGTTTAGGGTTTAGGGCCTAAACCCCCCGAGAAAAAGGGAATAAGGGTACTACTGGGCATCCAAGGAAGCCAGGTACCCTATGTGGTGAAAAAAAAACTTGGGACTTCAAGGGGTTCCTCAAGGCTCCCAAGTATATACTCTGTAGGTAGATGGATCCTTTAGGGTTTAGGGTTTAGGGTTTAGGGTTTACAAGCACGATGACCTCAATGAAAAAAAACTGAAACTCACACAAAACTAAAGACGCTTTCTGCTCTTCATCTCAGGCTCCCGTGGGCGCGTCAGCGACTCCCAGGTGTCTGCCTCCGAGACGGTGATCCTGGTGCTACTTGAAGGTTCATGGTACTTACTAACCAATTATAACTGGGCTTATAACCCTACTTATAATTGGGATAACCCCTATAAGGCCCTTTAGGGGTATTATAAGTAGGGTTATAAGTACAGTTATAACTGGTTAGTAAGTACTACCATTCTGCAACACAGCTCCGAGGCATGGGAAGCCGGAAGGACCGTCGAGTTTGGGCAAGACAAGAAGCCCTTCAACAAGGATGTGGCCTTTGGGTTTGTGGTGAAGGAACTTCCTGTTCAACTCGCTGTATGTTCGTTAAAGGACTCAACAGGCGGCGCGGCGCACAACCCTCCGCAGAAAGGTCATAACCAGGGGGTCTAGCATGAAGCAAAAGCAAAGCTGAAATCATTCCGACCCAGGAAACCTCTTCGTTACCCCAGACTCCCAAACCATAAGCCCGCTAAACCCTAAAAACCCGAAAAACCCTAAAAACCCTAAACAAACCCTAAAACCCTAAAAACCCAAAAAACCCAAAAGAACCCAAAAAAACCCTTAAAACCCTTAAAACCCTACAAACCCTCAAGGCGTTGCAACGTTGAGGCGCGTCCCACAAAGCAGCTGCAGCTTGAAAACTGGGAAGCCCAGCTCCCGGAGGCGCCCCTGTCATGTAGGGTTTAGGGGTTTAGGGTTTAGGGTTTAGGGTTTAGGGTTTAGGGTTTAGGGTTTAGGGTTCAGGGTTTAGGGTTTAAGGGAAAAAGATTTCTTCGGGCTCAGGGTAGCCCTTTTGAAGAACCCCTTTGGGGATATGCGGGGGCCATATGAACCCTAAAACCTTGAACCCGAAACCCCGAAACCCTAGTAGTTGCCCAATGTTGAGGGCCTGGGGATCTTGAACCCTAAACGACCTAAACTCTTTCGGGGTACTTAGGGCTTAGGGCTTAGGGCTTAGGGTTTAGGGTTTAGGGTTTAGGGTTACAACCTTAGGGGTGCGAGCTGGTTCCCTGGACCCTGGGAGCTGTCGAGGCTGGGGATTTCGGGGTCTGTAGAGTTTAGGGGTTTCGGTTCCAATGCCGTTCATGGCGATGTGCTACAACTCCCTACCATACTCGGAAAAGCGCACACCGAGAGGAACTACACGAGAGTGAGCATAGTTGTAGTTGTTGTCCTAAGGGTTGGCGGCGTCAAGGGAACTTAGATGGCTTTAGTGGTTCTTGTCTTCATGCGTCCGTCTCCAAGTAAACCCTGCGAGCTGCTACTCTGAACCCGGAACTACCACCCAAACCCAGACATTCACATGGTCCACTGGGCACCCGCTCCTTGATATTGTCTAGGAGAAAGCCCTCCGCCAAAGCAGTCTGGTCCTGAGAAATCAGGCTGAGCAAGTTGTGAATGGCCAAAGGAGTTCTGAGCATTTCCGCAGGTCCAGATGTCCACTGTGGAAAGGTGAAAGTTCTAGCACGTGTGGAGCAGAGGCCACGCTCTATGCAAAAGTAGAAATCTGGAAAGGGAGAGTGGCCAAGTCGAAACGAAATAAACGGTACTGTCCTTGTCCGTGGTACTCAGTGAAGCCATTGGTACTTGGAGGTTCATGGTACTTTTTTGAACCCGTGCTGAGGCCGAATCTAATCATGACTCTTTTTGTACCCCAACAATAACCATGTAAGGGCACTCAAGGGGCTTCCAAGTGGGTTTTAAGTGCAGTTATAACTGGCTAATAAGTACCACGGACCTCCAAGTAATGTAATTCGTAAATGCCGGAATGGGCCCTGATTTGAATGTCTACTCCCATACTTAATGATTCGGTTAGCCAATTCACTAGATGAACCTATTTTATGGCACCACCACGTAGTTCAAATCATCAACTTTCTTTTTCACGAAGGTAGACACTAATGAAGACAGTTCTTGGACTATGAGAAGAATACGTACAAAAAATGAACTTTCAATTCGCCTGTCGCTTTCTGGTAGCATGTGTAGCGAAATGAATATAGCTAATTTTCCTGAGTTGACAATTAAATTATGTTCATCTATGCCCCACCCCATTCCCAATTTACCAATCAATTCAGCTCCTTTTAGTGGAACTCATGTATTTAGAGGTCAATCCTAGTCATTGCAATGATTGAACGCTTGGTTTGACTACGAAAATTATCCCCCCGCTCGCTCCCCGCCTTGTTGATTAACACTACTTGCCTAAGTGTGCTACACAATATACAAGCTCCTTCACTGATTGTGGGCTGCCACACCAGATTTAGCAACTTCATGCTGCAATTGTTCTTGTTAGCAAAATTGGAGTCTTCTAGTAACTAAATGAAACATTTTGCCATTCGCCTTTGGACTTCAGCCGTTTTCTGCAAACCTGTGTTTTACCCGAATGCCTGGCTTCAGCTCGCTTAGGTTGCTGCAAGTTTCCCTAAACCCTAAACCCTAAACCCTAGGGCTTCGGTTTCCTGTTTCCTGACCATTCCCTCCCCCAAGGCCGGATGCAAAAGGCTTTTGGTTTCCTCCTACCCTCCCCGCCCTAAACCCTAAACCCTAAACCCTAAACCCTAAACCCTAAACCCTAAACCCGGGCATCCTCAGGAGGGGGTATCGGGCGGGCCGAACAACCTACCGCAGCTTGGCCAGGGCACGATCTCCACAGCAATGGCACCCGAGACCAGCCGAACCTGCATCTGCTAGGGTTGAGGGTTTAGGGTTTAGGGTTTAGGGTTGGGCCCTATATTTAAGGGATTGTGTAGGGCCCTCCTTCCCTCATTCCCTACAAAGAACCAGGGGGGCTGAGTGAGGGTTTCGGTGCCATCCTTCCCTACCCGGACTCCTGAGAGCCCCCCCAAGTAGTACAATCTACTACTACTACTACTACTACTACTACTGCTACTACTACTACTACTACTACTACTACTCCTACTGCTACTGCTACTACTACTACTACTACGACTACTACTACTACTACTACTACTACTACTACTACTACTACTACTACTACTACTACTACTACTACTACTACTACTACTACTACTACTACTACTACTACTGCTACTGCTACTGCTACTGCGACTACTACTACTACTACTACTACTACTACTACTACTACTACTACTACTACTACTACTACTACTACTACTACTACTACTACTACTAGTACCCTCTACTACTAGTACCCTCTACTACTAGTTCTTAGAAGGCCTTAAATTAGATCCCCTTAAAGGGGATCTAATTTTTGGATTCTCCCAGAATTCTGGGTAGGGGCTGAATCCAAAAAACGTTATCCTTTAAAATTTGCAATAGGAACATATATAGCCAAAAAAGTCAAAGGTTAACTACCCAGCCCCGAAGCTTCTCTCATCAATATACCAGTGTCCACGAAATGAAGCAGTATGTGTACATGTGCAATACTTGCCAGCGCTGACGTCAGCACAGGTAGAAAGCATTACAAGTCCATGGTCTGCTGTATCGGGCGGAGCAGAATCTACGGGCCGAACTAAAGTTAACCATGGACTGCCTCAGGCCCACTGTCGCATTTCCACCCGTCCCGCAAAGGGTACCATGCAGCCTACTTTTCTCTCTCGCTCCTAGAGTGCAGGCCGCACTCGCTCTTCCTTCCTTACTTACTTCCTTCCAGCGCATGTGATCTCCCCGAGAGACTGCCCCGAGGTGCAAGCGTCACCGAGTTTGTAGAGCTGCGTGAAAAGGTGTGTACACGTCAAAGGCTCCCAACAAACAGCGTAGTGCTGACGCAAGGATCACATGGTTGACGTGTATACGCCACCAACTTTGGGCAATCGGAAAGAGCGCACTCGCTCTCTCTCCCTCTCTCTCCCTCCCTCACGCACACAACCGCACCACCACAGCTCCCTTAGCCTTAAACGCCATCATAGGAGCATTGTCAGGAGAACGTGTGAACTTTCCATGCCAGACAGCGAAGCAGGCCCCAGGCTCTGGGCAGGGCTCTGAGTTCCCCCCCGCCCCCAGCCCCCCTCCCCCTCAATCCCCCCCCCCCCCCCTCCCGCGCCCTAAACCCTAAACCCTAAACCCTGAACCCTAAACCCTGCAGAACCCTAAACCCCGAACCCTAGAAACAATTAGCCAAACCCTATAGCCCTAAGATTTGAACCCACCCTGCTGCTCCCCAGCATGCCTTGATGGTGGGGTTTTTTCCCGCGGAGGGCCCCAGGATGGCCATGGCCGTGTCCCAGTGCTATGGGCTTTCAGTGAGGGAGCTTGCGACCCCTTGCAAGACACACACGTACCTAGAGGTCGATATGGGGTTTCAATAGGGTTTAGGGTTTAGGGTTTAGGGTTTAGGGTTTAGGGCACTGACCCCTCTATAGATACCCCCCCCCCCCCCCAGCCAGCCTCAATAGGCGGAGGGGGGAGGGGGGGTACATGGGAGCTTGATAACGGGTAGGTGTGTTAGAGGGTGGGTTTGTGGTGTATGGTAGCCTTTCGGCTTAGGGCTGTAAATGTGGGAGTCAGGTCGGCTTTGGTTTTGAGGGTTTGGGGTTGAGGGCTTCTGGGCCAGACTTGGTGCGCTGTTGCACTTGATTGTATCATGGTGACTGGATCTGATGCGGCGGCTGCGGCAAACACGAATGCTGGCAGCTTCACGCGAGTGCGATGCAAATGGCCTCCCAAGGATAGTTCATGTTACGCCTGACAATCCTTGACCTGAAGCCTGATCGATCTGCAGGCAATTGCCAACCGAGATCCAGGCGTTCGCAGGAGGGCTTGAACGGCTGCTTCAGCGTTGTGTGCCTCAGAAAGGAGCCGCTTGGCTACTGTTCGTAGGGATTTGGGCTACAATGGTGGCTTGAGACCGGCATTTAGGGGGGAATCAGCCTGCAGCAATTTCTACCTAAAGGCTCCTGTGTAGTCCCTTTTTTGGGTGGTAGAGTAGATTCCCCGACTACCTAACCCAAGAAGGATAACTACATCAAAGCCCAGTTAGTGGGCATCTGGCCGCAATCTCCTCGTTTCGGGGCTGAGGGACATGAACATAGCTTTCAGCTTATCCAGGGTTGCGAAACTGTGCACTTCCCTCAGGGTCGCTGCACCTATGTAGTATATACTTGGGCCCGCCTAAAGCTACGAATTTACATGGGGACCCCTTGAAGGCCCGAGTACATACCATGTGGTGGTGCACATGGACCCTTTAGGCCTTTCGGCTTAGCACAGTTTGAGACGTCCTGAGGCTATCGGTGCTGTTGGTGGCCAAAGGCAAGCTGGGGGGAAGGGGGGGGGGGGGGAATCTGAGCAAGCTGCAAGGCCAGTCAAAAAGCTCCAACTGAGCAAGTGGCTTCCCTAACTCTGAACCCTGCACCGTCCTCTCTCCCTAGACGCGCACATAGCAAGCAGCCAAAAACCTAACGCCGCAAAACCTCTTCAGGAATATACCGTATAAATTAATCCCTTCACCCTAATATTAAACGGGGCCCCCCGCCCTAAATGGAAACTGCAAAGTGTTTTTTCACTTAGGGTTTCCAAATGTCCTTAACCCTAAGCCCTAAACCCTTAACCCTAGACCCCCAACCCTAAACCCTCTGAGGGTATTATTGGTGTTGAGGGATTTATTGGAGGCCTGACCCCCCCCCCCCCCCCTAATTCGGAATAGGGTTTAAAAGGCGGGCTCGGTTTCGGGAGGATTTTCCGGAATGTGTTTTTGTTCTTAGGGGGGGCGTTTAATAAAAGGGGGAAGGGATTATAGAGGGATCTTTCAGATGATGAGGTATGTTCCTGAAAAAGGGGGCGTTAGGAGAGCAGCCCGGGGCTCCAGGCAATCGTTGGTCGCCGGCAATATCTCAGCAGCATCCACTTGTCATTTCCATACCTGCTATGACTGCTATGTCCCGCAGCCTCCCGCTGAACGCTTTGAAACCCTTTTCCCAAGAGACTTCGCCCGCCTCGATAAAATCGCTGTGAACCAAGGCCGCCCTTTGAAACCCTACAACCTGAACCTTACAAAACCCTGAACCCTAAACCCTAAACCCGAAACGCTAAACCCTAAATTTGGGAATTTGATCCATTTTTGGCCCCTCTGACACCTCTGACCCCCCATTGTTCAGCTCGAATTTGGGAATTTGATCCATTTTGGCCTTTCTGACCCCTCTGACCCTGCAGGTGTTTAGGGTTTCAGGGTCTCAAGGCTTGGTGTTTAGGGTTTCAGGGCTGGTGTTTAGGGTTTCAAGGCCTCACGGCCTGGTGTTTAGGGTTTCAGGGCCTGGTGTTTAGGGTTTCAGGGCCTCAAGGCCTGGAGTATAGGGTTTCAGGGCTGGTGTTTAGGGTTTCAAGGCCTCACGGCCTGGTGTTTAGGGTTTGGCCTGGAGTTTAGGGTTTCAGGGCCTCAAGGCCTGGCGTTTAGGGCTTCAGGGCCTCAAGGCCTGGTGTTTCCCTACAGCCCAAACCCTAAGGTGCGGGGGGGGGGGGGGGGGGGTTGCACTTTCACTGCTTGTAGCAGGGTTGGGGGGCTTATCGTCGCCAGCAAGGACCGCCTGGAGCTCAGAACGCAAACCCTTAACCCCACTGACACAACCTATGCAGCACAATCAGTCCCATTACCGGGTCCTTTGACCACTACTACTATACACTTCGGATCCCCAATCTGCAAGCCCTTGGGATACACAAGCCCGAAGGATCCATGTACCTATATAGTATATACTTGGGCCTTAAAGGGATTCCTATATAGTAGCTTTAGAAGTATATACTATACAGGTACATGGATCCTTTGGGAAGGCGCACTGGAAAAGGAGGGAGGCAAGCCCGAGAAGCGGCGCAAGCGGCATCAGCGGCGCGTAG